TAAGTTACGTTCCGAAGTGCAAGATAAACAGAAACACGCGATGCACTAACCGCTATTATAATATCAGGAATACAAATTATATTCCCTCTTTATGCGCCTTTTTCCAATCCCATGATTTAAAATATCATTTATTCAAGATTAGAGTTATAAATAGCAAATTTCTTTCGTGTTTTATAGCAGACATTATAAAATCTTAAGGGGGAGTTTGAAAGATTATATTTGATTTCGTCACAACATCTTACAGCAAAGCCTGCCTGTGTAATAAACATTCCTCCTCATAATTGCAAATACATAAACAAAATAACGTGAGGTTGGAGAAAACTGCATAATGAGGAGCTTCATAACTTGTTCTTTCCTCCAAATACAAATATAATGCTCAAATCAAGAAGGGTGAGAAGGGAAAGGCATGTAGCACGAATACTTATAGGATATTGGTGGGAGAGCCAGAAGGAAAGAGACCACCAGGAAGGCCAAGACGTAGGTGGGTGGATAATATTAAAATGGATCTTAGAGAGATAGGATGGGGTGGTATGGACTGGATTGATCTGGTTCAGGATAGGGACCAACGGAGGGCTCTTGTGAACACGGTAATGAACCTTTGGGTTCCATAATATGTAGGGAAGTTCTTGAGTAGCTGCATAATTTGCGGCTACACAAGAACTCAGCTCCATGAAGTTATAGTTAGTAAACAGTACAGTTTTACCTTAATATGACGGTCTCTTGTTCTGTCTGTTTTTTGCGTTGTCCAGGGTAGTGAAGGGGTTGGGGAGAGATGTGCTGAAGACTCATGCTGGCCAACCTCAAATGTCGGCAATATAAAAACGAGACCTGCCCAGCAGATGATGTAGTGCGGGTCATTTGAAGCATTGAGAGGATTTGTGTGATCTTCGCAAACAGCCCTGCCGCATTTCGACTTGCCAGTAAAGATATCGAACTATTTCAGAGACATTTTGTACGAAGGAGAACTTCAAATAGAATAAACGGTTTTCTTCTTTCTGTCCCTCTGCATACCTTCGGACGTTTGAGAGACAGAAGTCACCGTCGACCTACCAAGTTCAAGATCACCGACACCAGGCCAATCTAGCCGCTTGCCCGAGAGGGAAAGTGAGCGTTACCAACTGTTGCACGTCGTATTCCTCTAGGTCGGCGTTTCTCAACTGGTGAAACGCTGACGGCTGAGTGGGATATGAGAGCTTGAAAATAAGCCTTTTTGTTAATGATAAATTTACTAACAGTAAAGTGTATATAATTGTATAAAACTGTAAAAACGATGCTTCATTTTTACTACGGTGACATTAAACTTTTTGACAAAAGGGCCCGCAGGACACGAGTTGCAAAATGTTACGACTCACTACTCTAGACTCTTTGGTATTTGAGGCTCTCACGATGGAGACTAAATTACTGTCTCATGGGATGTGAAACCGTGTAGGTTGGGTGATAGGTACCTATGTTTCGGATGAATATGATTCCCCCACCTTCAGGGTTGAATAATTAGCTGTCGGCAATCTTGAACGCGAGAAGATGATGGCAAATTCTAAAGATACTGGGGCCAAGGTTTTCTTGGCTGAAATAAATTCACGCTACTTTCTCTGAAACACAGCGCTATATAGGCCCTACTAAAATGAAGAAAGGGAAAATTATCTCAAAGATATCTACAAGATAGTCAGTAATTTGGGTCAAAACAAATCTTGTTCTGGCCCCTTAAATTCGGAATTAAAAACAGAGACGGCAAACTTGCACCTCTTTCTTGTGATACGCCTATTTTTTTCTAAATACATTCTTTCTCTGCACCACGCCCCTCCCCCCTACTCCTCCTCCTCCTCCTTCTTCTTCTTCGTCTACAACTACAACGTTATAGAACGTTTTGGAAAGTGCGAAGTTACAGCCACATTTTTGGCGAATATTTGTTACACCAAGGTCCGGCTGAATATTTTGCATTAGAAAAGCTGTTGTATTGCGTTTATGTTTCACAACATCCGTTTTATGTGAGCTAAATAAAACCGCAATTATTTGGCTTTTAAGGTGCCAGAATCACGGGCAATATCAACTACATAGCCAATTTATGTTTGAAACCATCATTATACAAACACGCTTGACCACTTACTGATCGATCCATGCAGTAATCGTTGACTATCCAGTCGGCCTCTGACACATAAGCATATCCTAATATAAATAATCACAAAGAGGTTGCATCGATATAAAAATGTTCTAATAAGTTTCAAGCCACATACTTGTATAGCTAACATGTTCTTTTCTATCAATAAAACAAACAAGTGGGGAGGAATTTCTGGTGCACGATGTTTAATTAAATGGCTCAAAATCATGTACAGGCAGCAAATGAAATTTGTGGACAAGGCATTCAATTTGCTAGACCCTTTTTTTTTATTGCTAGTGGGGTGGGACTAAGTCCCTTGTACTGCGGCCACTTCTGGCCTATTGTACCAGCTCCAGATAGGTGAGGGTGGTTGTGGAGCAATTGGTGGAACGAAGATTGGCAGCGGAAACCGAAGTACTCGGAGAATGCCTGCCCCAGCGCCACTTTGTCCACTACAAATCCCACTTGACCAGACCTGGGATCGAACCCGGGCCGCCGCGGTGGGAAGCCAGCGACTAACCGCTTGAGCTATGGCGCGGCCCCTTGCTAGACCCTTATGAACCATATAAGCCGTCTCATGAACATCTTCGAAGTCTTTCTGGCACTTCGAAATTGTTTCCTTGGTCTAAGTCCTTTGCAGATACCTTCCAACTGGAAGATACTCAGATCTCATACTAATGAATTAAGGTGGACTTCCAAAATGACATTTGAAATTCAGCATGGAGTCACATAAAAATTTTGCTATGCATATTTTTGTATTTTCACGCTTTAGTTATTGGCCAGAAGGAAAGAGACCCCTGGGAAGACCAAAATGTAGCTGACTGGACATTATTAAAATGGATCTTAGAGATATAGGATGGGCTTGTATGGATTGGATTGATCTGGTTCAGGATAGGGACCGGTAGACGGCTCTTGTGAACACGGTAATAAACCTTCAGGTTCCGTGAAATCATGGGGAGTTCTTGAGTAGCTACATAATTGGTGGCTTCATAAGAAGGGCTCAGCTCCATGAGTGCGTTACTGGACACGGGGTTTGGATTGATAATTTAATTTATTGGAAACTTATAAATCGTAGCTGCAAGTAATTGATTACAAGTTCCTTGTGTGAGCACATTTTAAGCATCTTGTAGCTAATACTGAGAATTTGAATATATTAATATTATTATGGAATACTAAAGAACTTAAAATGTTCTATTTTGTTATGGAACATGTGGTTAACTTCCATTTTGTCTCCATTCTACGGTTTAGAAGATACAGGTATTTCGACCACATTTGAACATTCTTCGCTTATTTTATAAACCAAGTTTACTTGTTTCTTTCTTGAGAGCAAAAGAATACATTGTAATTTGCTTTAATTTTTTCCCTTAATTAGATTAGAATATAAATTTGTCTTTTTCATACATTTGAGAATCTCGTGGCACGTTAGAAGTTCTGGAACAATCTCTTGAATACAGATATTTTGTCTTGTGACATTTAATTCGGAAACGTAGTGTTTGCAAGGTTTGAAGAGCCGAGTTTTATGGCTCTGTTGTAATCATTTTGAAACTGTAGCTTTTTGGCAATTTGCCTGCGACGTACACAGAATATAAGACATTAAATTTTTAGACATACTTACATATTTTTATTATTCAGCACGATTTTTAAACAGCTTGAAGCACTGGGGGTGATAGAGCTGATATGAAATCTGTAAGATTTGAGACTTTCGCGGCGGTGACTATGATGAAAGCAGTATTCTGGGATTTGGCAGACACAGTCTGCTTTTACCGGTTCTCACGGTCTCTCCGCTTGCACATTTCTTATATTTTTTCTTCTACCCTGAAGATGGAGGCGATACGTTCCTCCGAAACGTCGGTTAACACCACATATACACGGTGCCAAATCCCAGAAGACTGCTTTCTTTATGAAATCTCTTATATATGTTGAAGGAATGCTTCCTCACTAAGATATTCAGACTCGTGTCACGTTAAAGATGACATTTCTGCAGTCATTATTTTCTCTATCATGTATGTTTCAGAGCAGTTCGTAGTACTGCAAATCGTTTGACCTTAGATAAGCTAAACAGTATCACAGTAACGCGTTTTTGTAGTAAACACAATAAAATTTGGCACTTTCTATCCTTCCTCCTGAATTTTTGCCTTAGCTCACACATCACATTCACTTTTCTTTTTTCACGCATTACGCCTTGAGAAGCAGACCTGCTTCTGAAAAAACATTTTCACTCATTTGATATGACTCTTCAACAGATAGGATAAATCCATCTCAGTGAAGCCCTTCACAGGACAGTAAGGCATAGAAGACTGAGATGAACATCCATACCTCGAGTAGAATTCGAACTCGTGATCCCAGGCATCAAGAAGAGCAAGAGACTAAGTGTCTGAAACCGTGAGGCTGCATGCACGTGTTCCTTTCAGCTAGTTTAGAAGCTTTTGACAGAGGCGACATGCAATATTAATTTGCGAACAACTTCGGTCAAATGGAGCAAGTGCGAATTTATCTGGCTCGTAGTGAAGGGAGGGGGGCTCAATTCGTGCTATTGCACTATTCTCACTCGTTCTCTTTACTTGTTCCGTACGTACCAGTTGAAACATCCGCAAGTGAGGCCAAGAGCACACCAGCAACCAACCATATAGTATGTGAAACCAATAAAAACAACAGATTAATTCGGCCAGATGCTGTGTCCCAATGGTGGGACATGACCTTCGGTATGAAAGCAAAAAGTAATTTTGAAACAAATGACTGCATGTCAAGCGAGAGTTACACAGATATTGGTAAGCCTGATATTCCTACAAAAATCACTAGAACGCGCGCGCGTGTGTGTATCTGTCTGTGTGTGTTGGGTGTCGCCATGGCGCAGGTGGTTGTGCGCAAGTGTGGAGGGGTGAAGAGGGGATCGGTTAGAGGCACGGGATCGGTCGCGCGGTCGCTCGCTCGACTGCCGCTAGCTAGAAGCAGAGCGTTTGGTAGGTTTCGGAGCTCAGCTTTAGTCTGCTATCCTTTAGTCAATGCTTGAGAGTTGCAGTGTGAGGGTTGATTGCGTCAGTGGCAACGTACTTGAAGTGACACTCTTTGTGTAAGGCAACTGGAAACATTCCAGAGTGTTAATTATATTAAACGCATCATATGAAATTTCTCCCGTATAGAATTAACTTCGTTTAATAGTGCTTTTAATTAAAAAGAAAGTTGTGTTCCATTGTTACATTTACGTCCATATGAGTGTAAGAAGAAATTATTTTGTATTTGCTACGTTGAAAGAGGAACATGAAATAATTTTTTAACAAATGAACGGACACCAGGACTGTCAGACAACCCGTTTCTTCTCTTATTCTACGAATCCAGTTACAACAAAATGGCGGCGGTCGGTGGTGGAGTTCGCGCTGTCCCGGCATCAAGGCAGCGAGATTGTTGCCCACATGGAGCTTGTTCTGCTGACGTGATATCATAACTGAAGAATATAATCTTATCTGCTCAAAGAAAACAGGTTACTTCTTTGACAGTCCAGGCAAACACCAAGATTCTTTATCTCTTTGTAGCTCGTGTTGCATTGTTGCAGACGTTCGTGCTGAAGTACAAGTGATTGTCGCCGTTCTGTGATGGAATTAAAAATCAAGCACGCATTTCTGTCATACATTTTTTGACATCCGTGGTGTGAGAAGTGAGTTGTGTGTTGAGTGTGTATAGTAGGATTGTGGTGTACAGCCCACGTACAGTCTGCCGGTCTAGTTGTTAGGATTGGTGTTAATACAAACTCGGAAATAAAATCGACGCACAGGATACGAAAGAACAGTGTTCTAAGTGATTATCACAGCGGTCCAGACAAGTCTTGTGTAACAAATTCTGTAGACTTGGGAAGTGTGGAAAATATCGTACAGGTAAGGTCAAGTTTTTCCCAGTTATCGTAACTTTTCTTCTTTCCTTGGCATATATTCCACAGACATCGAAGCGTGTTAAGTGTGGGAAAGGCCCAAGAACGTGATATTGAAGCTATTTTTTGATTCGGTTTCCGCCAGACGCACATAGATTCATCTCCGGCATGTGGATGAACATACGTATTTTGATCATACAATGCTTTACCGCTATGGTGCGCAAGAAATTTAAAACATTCCTTCAGTCGACATGTTGTATAAGTTATAAGGATTTTATGTTTAGCATTATACCGGGTTACTCACCTCCAACTAATGCCGAGCTCAAGAAAATGTGGATCTATACATCCACTCCGTCATACGCTTTCATGGCCCAGTGCTTAATTAGATAAGCACAGGGACAACTTTACCTTTTATTTTAAGGGCCAGCGAGTCGTCTTTGTTATTGAGTAAACCATTCTTCTGGGATGTGACGCCATACCCACTTCTTGCTTGTTGTTTGGCCTACAATTTGACCCTGAACATGGAGGTAGCGCATTCCTCCAAAACGTGGTTGAACTTCAATCGGACTACACAGTGTCACATCCCAGAAGATAGTATTTTTCATAGCCACCAACGTAAGAACGTCAAACCGAACAATTTAATTTCATTTTAGTGGGTGAACATCAATTATGCACGGGTCTTAATGTTCGTAATGCCGAGAGGAGAGGTCACAGTATTTCGTATATCATAATTATTTCTGAAATCAAGGAATTTAGGCTTGGAATACTTGTACGAGTATAATGTGTGGCAGGGAACTCCAGGTAAAAGTCTGTACTTGGAAAATTCCATAGGAACAGTGGGCTAGAACCTGGTTTTCTCCCAGAAAATGTTAGCGATTTTGCAAAACGTGGGTGCAGTTCTTGTCAGTGTATCTCGACCACTATTTTTAATAAGTACTTCTTTAAAAATGTTCATAGAATAAAATTTACAAACGCACACGTTGGCGTGAGGTGTTCAGCGCAAACAGTTGCACATTTTAACTTCCTTCTATTCGTAGAATGTTTGCACTGATAATAAAAAAACACCTTTGTATTAGTTAAAACAGTTCAGATATTCCAGTCTTGTTCACTTAACTCCCACTAAGCTCTCTCGCGTACCCATAAGGGGGATAGTTACCACCGGTCGAGAAAGTTTGGTTTACAGTACCGCAATTATATATTTTTACGAATAAATCCATTGGAGCGCGCTCGCTGTGTGACATGAGCAGTGGTCATTTTTTCGTTAAATTATATGTTCATCGCAGCCATAGTAAGATTTCGTCCGATATGGAAATGCTGAAATAGCTATACCTTATCGAGCAGTCATATGCAGTTTACACCCAGAACACAAATATAAATAGTATTCAACTAATAACTACAGGTGAATTTGGAGAGCGGTTTCATGTCCACGTGTATTGTCCACACGAAGTTTAGCATAGGTAGCATACTTCACGGGATGTGTAGACGTTACAAGACAGACCTATCCAAAATTTATTTGGGGTTTGTCGCGAAACCGTCTTTGTGAAAGTAGGTCCCTCACCCGAAGGAGGAAGGCGCATTAAGTTGGCAGTGTTGAGGGAAGGGCAGTGCGGGGAACGTTTCTAAGAGAGAGAACGCAACAGGAAGCCGGAAAAAATTGCATTAGTTAGGACGTTCAGATCAATGGGACCCGTTGGGTGGAGCAAGGAAGAGGTGAGAATTGCATACAGAATATTTGTATAGACAGGTTACGTGGAGGACATAAGCGTAAATTGGAGAACTAAGTTATGGAGGTGTCGCTGGACTCATTTTGCTTTTGTGAATGCTGCAGTGAATAGCGGAGCCGCAATCATTCCCAAAGAAAAATTGTTGCATGGATTCTGACGCAGATGTATGTACAAATTTGCTACGAACCAGTGAACTCTTGTTTTCTGATGGATTCTTTCGGTTCACACGTCATTCGTGGCTTCGTCAGTATTCAGGGAAGGCCCAAACAGTAGATCGCCATTTCATATTTGATTCCACAGGGCGAATGTATGCGTATTTTAAGGTCTAAGTAACAAATTTTGACACTAATATCCTCTGTCTTTGAATCTGAAACGTAATTTGTTCCAAATCCATCATTTCTTTCGCTTGTGGCGCTTTTGCACCGATAATTTACAAAAATTCGCCTGTTCACTTCGTCATGTTTGTCTGTGTATAAAAAACTCGAGAACCACACAAATGGAAATTTACACTGGGTTTCCTTTTTACAAATGAGTTGACTGTAGTCCCCAAATTTGGTCGAAATATGACGACAGTAACGGAGTTATTTGCATGTGCTTTTCAGTGATTGCCCCGAGCAACTTGTGAAGAAAAATATTTCGAACAGACATAGAGAAAAACGATGCACGTTTTATTACGAGAGCGAACGCCGCAGTCATGTGATTCAACGTCATATGCAGAGGGTACTCAGATTTCAGGATATGGAAGCCGGAGCATTAAGCTGGTTACTAATCTTCGTTTAGTGTAAAGGATAAGAACGTTTATCCTGCACTGCCTCATGCATAGATAGTCACTTTGCGGTTCTTGAGGGCGAGAGAAATTTGTAGGTAAAATGAACACGCTTAATGCCTAAGATTATATGTTTTATAAATACAACTATACTTCCGCTGCTTTACATTCTGGGAATTTTATTTAAATTTATACTAACCGAGAGGTACATAACAGGCATGCAAGCGTAAGCCCACATATTTTATGCACAGCGTAATTAATATAATTTTGTAAGAATTTTTGTACTGCGATAAACTAAAATGGACACTGCGAAAGAGATGCTATCTCTTGTAAACGAAACTTTATATTATGAAAGGAAATTAATGTGGTAACATAACCGGTCCTAATTAAATATTACGTTATTAAAATTTGAATGTGTTCATATCGTAATCTTATACAGTATTTCTCTCCACGTCATATTTGTAGAACTTTCTTATGTCATACAAGAAATGGGTAGAAATTAATCTCTTACAAATTGCAATGGTGACAGTTCACGTAAAAACTTCCCTCAGGGTAACGTACAAACTTTGCTGATTCAGTCTCCCGTGCTTGAATAACGTGTTTTGAAAATCATGCAAGAAAAGTATTGTAAATGGACTGTCTGTATTAGACTCTACACGAACAGTGTTATTGCGAGGGGAGAGTGAAAAATAAAAGCCGTTGTTACGCGTTTGGAATGCCTGTGCAATGCATACTTGATAGCCGAAATATTTCTTTGCACAGTGGCACACACACCAACACATTCATTTCATTTTTATCTTCCTGTTCCCTTAAGTTTTTAAAAAAATTTCTGGGATGTGAATAGCCGTGCTTGGAAGGTGTGATTTCGACAGAACATGTTAAGAGTTGAAGTGACTGATCTAGGTCGAATAAACAACTTAATACCAACAGCGTAGTTTATTTCTGAATCACCGAAATACAAAAGGATTATGTGAAACTTGTAGAAAAAAAATTGTTCAGTAAGTCCAACAGGATGGATGTACGCCTTCGTGACAACTCGCATCATGCGTGTTCGGAGCTGTACACTGTCGCCCCCTTAACCCTTTGAACAGCTATCATGAAGCATACCATAACGCGCGGGAAGATTGGCAGTGGGTGCTTGTGTCTCTAACGTTGGATCGGCCAAACGATTTTCGGGCAGGCTCTCGAATAACCATTCTGTATAATATCCTTGAGGATGTTTCCAGTTGATGTGCGGGAAAAATTGTATTTCTTGTAAGAGCAAAGGAGATAAGTACAAAGGATTAGTTTCCCTTGTTAATACAAGAATTTGTATTGTAGTGAGTGTATGGTTGGTACCATAGTTCTAATTTTCAATAGTAGGCGGCACAAACAGAAAATCCCATCGCTATCCCAATGAAACAAGGCAGAGTCTACAGTGTTCCTCGTTGTGTAGTGCCCCAGATGCTCCTGATGATTCTGGATGGCAGATCTGGCGGGATCAGATAAAAATCTGTTGTCCATACTGTCTATTAACTTAAATTCCAATCGCATATCCTGTGTAACTTGATTTTCCCCATAAAGTTAAATTTGTTTTACTCGAACCGCACTGGCCTGGGTAGTTCTGTCCCATAACCCCCCCCCCCCCAG